TCAACTCCAAATAGATTAAAAGATCTAATATCCTCACAACAACCTACTAATCTCTCGATTCAAGCAAGTAAATTGTGTCAAATATTAAAGACCTAACATTGAACTCATCTCTCGAATTATGAACAATATTGTCAAACATGTAAAAACATTGACCAAGCGCTAAACATGAATTAAGAGCAAAATATTTGAATAGGGTTCAAAAGAAAACAATCAATTATAATAAATCATCCAAAATCCCAACATATTAATCTACTACCAAGTCTTAAAATCAAATAATCTAGCTACTCATGTTTGAATTCAAATACATAGACATATTAGAAATCAACATGATCAATAAAAGTTCAAAAGAAAGAAGAAAGAAAAAACTAGGAATCTCGTCGATCTTTCAATCTTCTTGATCCCCTTGTGGTTGATCTTCCTTTGCTTCCCAATTGCTTCTCTTGTGTGTTCTAGGACCTCTCTAATGTCTAATCTCGTTTTTCCCGTCAAAACTAGGTTAAATATGCCTCCTTTTGTGTCCAAAAACCTCCTCCTCATCAAGATAGGCAAGTACTAAAAAACAGTTTCCGCACGCGACACGGTCATTCTGCCCATGTCACGGGCCGTGTCGCAGCCCGTGTCAGCTCCCAGGTTACGAATTTTCTCTGTTGAGTTGACACGGCCTCTGACACGGGCATGGTGCCCGTGTCACTGCCCGTGTCACAAATCTGCTTGCTCGTTTTTTATCATTTCACTCGTTTCTTCCATTTTTTTTATCCTTGCATCAATCTTTCATAATCTCGGGGGTCTTAGGTACTCACCATGTGCCTCCAATAGCCACAAGCTCTACAAATATGTGAAAATATCTACAAAACAAGCACGTGTAATACCTTTCCAACAAGATATAGAATTATAGCATAATAATGCAATTTATACACCAATAATGCAATGAATAAGCTCTAGATGTTACATAAATATGGTGTAAAATCGCACATGAACAAGTTGCTAGGTTAGTAGTAGCTAGGTTAGTTCTCTGTAGTTGCTAAGAGTTGTCCGTATTTTAAGAGCTGTCCCCTATATATATATAGGGGATGGATCCAATAAGTCCACCTCTTAAAATGTGGACGTGAGACTCAATTTTAGCCACTCATTTTGTCTAGATCAAGAATTTATGTTAATCAATTAAAATATACATTAATTAAATAATAAAAATAATTAGTAGTTGACTCCGGCGTTGACTATTAACTTCCGGTGTTGACTTCCGGCGAGAATCGTTGACTTCCGGCATTGACTTCCGGTGTTGACCCGTTGAACTTATTATGCATCATGTATGAAAGAATAATTAAAGACAGCATATCTATCAACAACAGACAACTAACCTAGCAACTAGACATAACTAACCTACCAATATCAAACAACTAACCTTGCAACTATATTTAACTGACCTAGCAACTACATTTAACTAACTTAGCAACAACAGAAAACTAATCTAGCAACAACAGACAACTAACCTAGCAACTATTTAGAACTAACCTAGCAACAAGATAGAAATAACCTAGCAACAACAGACAACTGACCTAGCAACTAGACATAACTAACCTAGCAACATCAGACAACTAACCTAGCAACTAGACACAACTAACCTAACAACTAAATACAACTAACCTAGCAAAAACTAATAACTAACCTAGCAACTACTAACCTAACAACTACATAGAACTAACTTAGCAACTACATAGAACTAACCTAACAACTACTAACCTAGCAACTACAGAGAACTAATCTAGCAACTACAGAGAACTAACCTAGTTGGAAGGTTAGTTGTCAACGGTCAACGCCAAAGTCAACGTCGGAAGTCAACGGTTAACGCCGGAAGTCAACGGTCAACGCCAGAGTCAACTGGTCAAAATAATATTTAAATAATTAAAATAATAAAAAGAAAAGAGTAAATCTTGGCCACACATGATGTACCAAATCTTGTGGCTAAAAACGAGTCTCACGTCCTAACTTTAAATAAATAGATGCATTGGAACCAATCCATATATATATACTATCATATTTCAATATTACACTTTAAAATACAGTATAAATATATTTTACACCGACTACTCGTTCCATCATAGCAATGATCCAAATCCGATTTCCATTACCATAAAACTAATTGAAACTCCTAATCGCCATATAAAAAGAAAAAAAAAGCCAGTTCAAAATTTTATTCTCTAAAGAAAAAATGATATGAAAGCCAGAAATACAAAGATCAGAGGTTTTTTGCTAGGACTTGAGATTGATCCCAGTTATGACTCATTTGTTTATAAATTTACATGGAACTAAAATACTTTTATCGCATAATTGAGAAGAAAATGTTATGAGGAGTTGAACACTATTTTATCCAAAATATCAATGTTATTTTACCAAATAACATATATGATTTTATAATTAAATACAATTTAATTCACTAATTGTATATCAATTCAATACCAAAAAGGACTGGATTGAACTCACCTCATACTCCATCATGAAAGAACAACCACTGGACTTGCCACCTCTTACCCACAGTTCTCCTGTTCCTTCCTCAAATATGGTTGAGATAAAAGTAGGGCAGCTTTCTATTACTGTCAGTGCTGTGATATCTCAGGAGGGCCAGGTTGGGGTTGGTTGCATTGGTGAGCAGCATAACTTGGTAATTTTCTCATGGTAAACAATGTTGCCCATTGCTGACTGCAAAGAAGTGGCTACCCTACTGGCTGTTAGATGGTGCCTCTAACAGCTATCATCTAACCAAGAGCACCTTGGCAATTCATTCAGATGTAGGCTAGCCAACTCTGGTGTAGCTAGCATGCTCAACTCCAGATGCACACCATCCTCAGCTGCAGCCCCCATACTTTTTGATATTTTCTCCTTGCTTCAGAATTTTCATGTTCCTTTCTTTTTCTGTGATGTAGTTGGTAGTCACTCGGCCTTGCAAGTTGCTTTAAAGGTTTTGAAGGAGGATTAGTGTATTTTCCCTCACTTCTCTGTTGCTAGACTCATGCTCTAGTACTGGGATTGTAATCATTTGATTGCTCGAAGCCTCAAACTCAGGAACTTCCAAGATGACACACAACCATAAAGGAGATGGGCCGAAGCTACTAGTCCCCTATGGCACTTCTACTACCAAAGGTTGTACATTTCTTTTGAGTTTTTAATCCAAGTTTGTTGTTGTTTTTNCAAATGGGGCCTAATCTAAGACGTGCAATACATGGAGTTTGGTCCACAAAATAGCCTTCAGTAACAGTTGTAATAACACCAAATTCTTAATGTTCAACTCATTCCAAAGCGAAGCCAAACAGTTTGGCACACACAGTCAGTCCAGCCAATAAAGCATCAACAACGAAACTATAGTCTTTTAAAAAAAATAAAAAATAAATCGCCATGACTTTCCGGGACTTTTCAATCTACCAATATTTCAACATTTGACCATTCATTATAAAACACGGGGATTTATGAGCAAACGTATTTGACTAGACACGTTCTCAGGCTTACGTATAGCACAACAAAAATGTATGTTTTGAACTTTTCGGAGTAAAGGTCAACCTTGAGAATAAAAAATCACAATCATTCTTGAAAAAATAAATTAAAATGTTGTGCTAAATCAGCAATTCGGTGTGGGTAATTAGTTGCATTAATATTTCTCTGTAAATTTCATTTCATATTTTGATAGGAGAAATCTTATTTGAATTGAAATTGGACTATATGTCACGGCCGTGTAGTATAGTACTATATGACATGATTGTTATGAGAAAATGACATGGGAATGGAATGATTATTAAATTATTCATTCCTTATCCCATGATTGATATATTTGTTTGAAATGAATGACCATTCCACCACAAATACAAGGCTCATTTCCATATTTGTAGGAATTAATTTTTTAAAAAATAAATTAACAAATAACAATAATAAATAAGTATATACTATAGAATTAATATTAAATACAACTATNCCACTAATTCAATGAAAGTTGTAACTTCTTGTCTTACTCTTTACATTTGATTTTACGGAACTGTAAATGCAGTAAATAGTACTAATAATTTCACTCAACATCTGATTTCCTAATTCAATTTAGTCAAAACACAAATAAATTGAGTTACTGTAACTGAACCTGACTCGACCAATATAAAATTTCCCTCATTCTTATATTCACTCATAAAGTGAATTACAGGCAACTCTTACTCCAAATTTTCAACACGCTCGTTTAGAAAATGAAATTATTCGTATACTTTCACATTACATAATATTCAATCATGTGAACCAAAATATAGGATGTCCCATATCAAGCCTCAATACATTTCATTATCACAAAATTCCTGTCAATCAATTGATTGGACTGGTCGATTCGTCATACTAATTTAACGAAAAATATATATTAATACCATGTCATATTCTTATATTATATTTATATTTATATTATTTTTTAGAATATGACATTTTAGATTAAAAGTATAAAAATTCATTATTTGCCTGATTACAATGTGCCTAAACTAATTTCCAATTTTCGATATATATTATTATAAACTATATAGTGCATATGAGAGTCGGTTCAATCAGCTTGAGGCCAAATTGAAAAAATATAAATAAATAAGTAAAATCATTATTAGCTAGAGGCAGAGCCTTCTCCCCCAATATAACAAGACTGCCCTCACCGTCTCTATTTTTACAGGTATGAATTATAGTGAAAATAAATAAATAAATCTGAAAGCTTTTACTATAAAACTAACAATCTCAAACTCCAATCGACAGTTAGTTCTTAGTTGTCTAAAATATTTCAAACCTAATTTATTTTTCCCACCTTCCCGAGTTGCTTTTTTCGATTTCTTCACATCCTATAAATTTTCTTTTTTACTTCAAAAAAGACTTTTCACATAACCCAGAATTTTCCAATTGCCGCCTTCATTATTCCATTTCTTTATTGTTTAAATTTTCAAATTAAATACTCCGAACATCGTATAAGTAACTCATTTCATTATTAGTCCAAATAACTNAAAAAAAGAGAAAAGAAAAAAAATCCACCGCCGTCCGCCGCCGCAATGAAGAGCCAGCACCCATTCCCGGCGGCCGGAAAGCCGATCTCCGCCACGATACCCCTCCTCTCACAGGCATTCTTCTTCGTCTTCGGCCTGACGCTGGGAATCATCCTCTGCTTCAACTACCGGAGCTTCTCCTTCAACCTCCAGGTCACCAACGGCCAATTCTCAATCTTCACTTCCCAGTCCATCGCCGACCGTCCGCCGTCTCCGCCGCCGCCCCGTGATCCGGCGGCGACGGCGGACGACGGGTGGGTGGATTTCCTGGAGCCGCCGCGGGTGATGCACGGGATGAGCGACGGGGAGCTGATGTGGCGGGCGTCGATGGCCCCCAAGGCGGCGGGGATCGGGCCGGGCCGGCCGGCGAAGGTGGCGTTCATGTTCCTGACACGTGGGCCCGTGGTGCTGGCGCCCCTGTGGGAGATGTTCTTCAAGGGGCACAGGGGAAAGTACTCCATTTACGTGCATTCGGATCCGGGCTATAACGGGTCGGAGCCTCACGGATCCGTCTTTCACGGCAGGAGGATTGATAGTAAGGTCGGTATTTTCTTTTTCAATAATTCAATTAATTAATTTCTCCCTTGATTCTATTTTATTTATTTATCGGAACTTTCTGTGTTTGCTGAAGTGAACTAACATAATTAAATTAATAAAGTTTCTGGTGAATCTTATGCAAAAGCAGCCCGAGATATATATTTTTTTTTTTTTTCGGTGCATTTGATATATTTGAATGCCTTTTTCTTTCAACGGCTATTTTAAAGAATATTCAGATATTAGTATTCAACTTTAAGTTATAATACCTTTTTCATATTCAAATGTTTTTAAAGATTTTTTTTCTTAGTTTAGTGAAATCCTTATAAGTTTTAAATCTGGAAAATGGACTTGTGGTAGGATTTGGTATATGAATTGTGTTTTCAAATTTGAATTTGTCTAACAAGTGCAATGAAATCTTCGTGATAGATAAATTGAATACACGTTACTTATTAAAGATTTTTTTAAATCTCAGTTGAGTATTTGTAATTTTTAAGATTTCTTAAAATTTGAATTGAATAAAAGAAAATTTGAAATCTTAAAACCCTGTTAAACGTACTAATACACCCTCCTTATTTGATATTTTGTAGGCCCTCCTCTATTTCTAGAATTATTAGGGACATTCATAGCACTAAAAAGACCCTCCTAGAATTAATTATTAGGGACATTCACAAACAAATAAATAAAATAATCCTTTTAAGTTGTACAAAAAATGGACAAAATTTTGAAAATAGAAAACTGAATAGAGGCCTTGACTATAGATGATGAACTAAAAAGTGCAAACTCGACTCTAATTCTAGTACTAGTCTTTTACCTGTTGGACCACACACATTATGTGAGGGCACTGTCATCGGTAGGTCGATTTTTTCAAATTTAAGATAGATAATTCTGGTATAAGATTACTTTTTACTCCAATTCTTATTTTAGCCGTTTCACTAATACAATCTTGTCTGGTTTTGAGTCTCTTTTGTTTTGTTCTCACAAAGTTGAATGCATGTGAGCCCCCCATAGCAACTTGCACTTGAATTATTTACCAAATGATTAAAATTACAACAAAATATTAAATACTCCCTCCTATTTTTAATAAGTGTCTTGAGAAGTTGCATAGTAATAATTTTCATTAATGAAGATAGAGATGAATGTTTTGAGAAAAGATGAAAATTGAATATAAAAAGACGTATTGTATTTATTGCCTAGATGAGGGTAATAATGGAAAAATATGTACAAAAGATTCAAAACGTCATATATTTAGTTAATTGTTGATAAAGTCAAAATGACATTTAAAAAAAAAAAGGAGGTAGTATTAAATAATAGGACCATCAAATTGTGAAATGTTAGAAGTTTGGGACTAAAATTGTTATGATATTAAACCAACAACACTAAAATTGCAATTTTAATTTGATAACAATAACAACGCAGGAAGTGCAATGGGGCGACGCGAACATGGTCGACGCCGAGCGTCGACTTCTCGCCCACGCTCTCCTTGACGTCTCGAACCAGAGATTCGTCCTCCTTTCCGAGTCTTGCGTTCCTCTCCACAACTTCTCGACTATTTACTCTTACCTCCTCAACTCCAACCAAACTTTTGTCGAGTCCTACGACCTCCCGGGCCCAGTGGGCCGAGGCCGCTATAGCCCAGACATGTCCCCCACAATCCTCCTCTCCGACTGGCGCAAGGGCTCACAATGGTTCGTCTCGGACCGCCACCTGGCGCTCGAGGTCGTCTCTGACTCGACCTATTTTCCGGCCTTCAAAAACTACTGTAAAGGGGGGTGCTACGCGGACGAGCACTACTTGCCGACACTCGTGGGCTTGCTCCCAGGCGGGTTTGCGGCCCGGAATGCGAACCGGACGCTTACGTGGGTCGACTGGGCGAGGGGTGGGCCCCACCCGACAAAGTTTATCAGAACGGACGTGGGCCCGCGGTTTCTCGAGTGGTTGAGAGGGGGAGGGGGAAAGACGTGTGGGCCGGAGAAGATGATGGGCCCGTGCTACCTTTTCGCGAGGAAGTTCACGCCGGATGCGCTCGATAGGCTGATGAGGTTTGCGCCGCAGGTCATGTACTTCGACACGTAGAGAGAGGAAAATAAAAAATAAATTTTTTTTTTTTTATTATNAGATTCAATTTTTTTATTTTTTTTATTTTTTTCTCTGGGAGATATATTCTTTGGGGGATGCTGTGCTGTGCCTCCCCACATTTTTATTCATTGAGGTCAAAGGTTATGAAGGCTTTTGCTTTGATGGTGTTAGGTGTGCTTGGTTTGTTTTATTATTTGTTTACAATGATAAAAAAATGTAGAGAGATTGAGAGGTTTTCCAGTTTCTTGGCCGAGGCTTTGAAGGTCCTATGGGACGGCCTGAAAGGTATCGGCTCATTCAGCATGGTCCAAAAGAACAAAAACAACACTCAGAATATAGAAATTATCTACCTTTTTAAATATGTAATTTCATTTCATATTCCACTATTCCAGTATCATCATCAGATTCAGCAGGCCTAACATTTAGCAACCTACATATGACGATCATTACTTTATACTACTATATATATGGCATATAGCTTCTCGCAAACTATAAGTCGACATTCCTTCCTCCGTGTCACACGCTTCCTCTCCGGCGGGGCTCTGTTCCCTACTTCTTTCGCGTGGTTCCGAAATGTTGTTCACACTTGGAAAGATTAGTTGGACAAAATTTATTTGCTTGACTTTAAATATTGATAAATGATTGTGAAGGTATTAAATATTTAGTCTATGATTTAATCTATGCTTTTATCATCTATACTTATATTAAAGGGAGTCATATTTACTAAATTTAGTAGCTAAAAGAGTCAACAGCATTTATTGTCATTACTATTTCCGTATTATACAATTTTATTTAATATTTGTTTTTCTGTTACGATTTTTAAAAACAGATATGGTCAAATTCTCTCATCATTAATTACTTTCCATTAATTATAATTTATTTATTTATTATTTTCTTAGCAAAAACGGACCAACATTAATTGATTTTCTTAAAACGTGGAAGTTGTTGCTTTATTTTTGTACAGAAAATCGGGCTTCATTATAGAAATTTGTTCAATTACACAATGAATTTTCTATGATATAATTATTTTTTATGGGAACTTTTTTTTAATGGAAAAATATGGCATTTCAATAAGATTTTTGATTTTTTAAGACTGATCGTTATCATGCTATGAAATTGAACATTCCAATATACCTTAATAAAATATACACGTGGTGTATACATCATTTAATAGAAATATAGAATCCTCATATTTTTATATATAAGTATGTAATTTTTCTATTACCAAATTTAATTGATAGTTGTGTTATGGGTTTTTTCATAATTGTTACTTGGTTGTTGTGATATTTAGTTTGGTTGGTGTCGCAAAAATTCCAATTTATATATATAATAAGAATAATCATTACAATGCAAATTAGAAAAATATTAATATTAGAAGATATTGAGTTCATGGCTTTTCTTAAATCAAAGTTGTTTAATTAGTATACAAAATTAAATTTTAAAAAAATATATGTGTATATTTTGTACATTATTTATATACTATTTAATTTTAAATTTATTTACATATTTTAAATTGATTACTTATATAAATAATACCAACGTGCATTAAATATATTTCATTACATAAAATAAAAAGAACAAGAAGACGTGTAACTTGTATAACCTTACAAATAATAATGACATTATATGGCAACAAAGTTTAATAATTAACTATTATACAGTGAATAAGAATAAGTAAAATTATTATTTTCTCTTATATGAAGGAATAAATATATATAATAAAATTAAATTTATATTAGTATAAATGTGTTAGTGAGATAATATATTAATTATTTTACAAGTTAGCTCTAACATGCTCACGTTTAATGTTTTGACTAATAAAACAACGTTGATTAAAAGATGTGAAAAATAGATTACATTGAAAAAGGTGAAAAATAGATGATAACTCTTTTCAGACTTAAACTAGACTTAACGGTGATTAAAATAAGTGGAAAATGGATAATAACCCTTCTCACACTTAAACGGACAGAGCCTGTTAAAATAATTCATTTAATATCTTAACTCATTTAATATGAGCCCGTTAAAATAATTCATTTAATATCTTAACTCGTTTAATATCTCTCTCGTGCATCGCACTGGTACGTTGGTAATTTGGTGAATTTGACATGATAACTATTTTGTTAAGCTATGGTTATTTAATAGACATACACGAACTTTTATCATTTAAACTATTTGCGAATCACTTAATTATATTAATAGTGATATTTATTTTCTGTAAACTCTCTAGTTATAATAACAGTGGTATTTATTTTTTATTAAAATTAAAAATAGTGGTGTTCTTATTGTAAAAGTATAGATTTCATTTTTTTATTTTACACCCGAATCTATTATATTTCATCTTCAGGCCGTTCAGTGATACTCGAGTCTCGAGTCTCTTGACCCATTCTTAAAGGGTCGTCTCTAACAAAATTCGAATAAAACCAACGCAACTTCAACAGTTGAAACCAAAACAAGTCTCAAGCAAAACCTACTCCAAGTCATTTTTGCCCCAAAACAAAACACAACACATCTCAGTCACAAAAATGGCCAACACAGACTCACCCAACTAAAACAAGCAAAACTCCGTACTCCCATAAACAAACAAAAAACTTGAATTTACAAAGCCCTACCTCAACTGTCAACCCCTTCCCCTTCAGAGCCCACCGGCGAGCCCAAGCCCAAGCCCGAGCCCAATCCCAAGCCCGACCCAACCGTCTCTTGCAAAGGTGACACCTCAGCTCCCTTCACATCCTCAATCATCCTCACCACACGATCCATCCTCGGCCGCCTGTCTGGAGAGACCTCTGCACATGCCAACGCCACCTGTAACAAACCCACCAACTCCTCATCAATACCCTTACACATCACAAGCTCCAGATCAAAAACCTCAGATGTCCATTCCTCTCTCACCACAGACCGGACCCACCTAGGCAGGTCCACCACCACCGGCCCACCATGGCCCTGGCCCAGGCCCAGGCCCAGGCCCGGCCCATTACCATCCATGACATGTGGGTTCTTCCCTGTCAGGAGCTCCAGCAAGAGGACCCCAAATGAGTAGACATCGGATTTCTGAGTCTGTTTCCGGCCGTCTGGCGGCGATTCAGGCGCTCGATAGCCGTTGGATTTTGGGGAGGAAGAAATCGAGAGCCCAAAGTCGGATAGTTTAGGGTTGCCGTCATTGTCAATGAGAACATTTGTGGACTTGATGTTACCATGGACGGGTCTAATGGGCTTGCCTGAGCTGTGGATGAAAGCCAGCCCATGGGCTGCTCCGTAAGCGATGTTTAACCTCGCGGCCCAGTCCAGTGGAGTCCGTCCAGGCCCTCTGTTGCCTGTGAAAATTTTACAAGTACATTTAGTCAGTCAAATCGTTCAACCTTTTCTCCAGTTTTGGAGTTTCCCATTATTTCTGTTCTGTCCCCACATTTTCCTCTATTATATGGTTCTATACAACCATTTCCTGTTGCACATTGCCACATCCTCAAGTTTTAACCTTTTTTGTCATATCACATTCCAATATCAAGTTCAGTCATGCAGATTATCAGTCATTACTTTACCTAGCTGCCATATATCTACAATATTGGAGCAGGTAAAACAACTGCAGTTTCAATGAAGGATCTAACTCTTATACTTAATGATACAGATCCATATGGCATAGTTTCTGGCAAGCTAGATCCGGCTGACTCTAAACTAAATAACAAGTTAAACAAAAAACCAATCGATCAAAGTCGAGATTAGAAACCATGATCCAAAAGTAACGAACAAACTACGCAACACCAACTACGCAACACCGAGAATTTAAGCTTACCATGAAGAAGCCAGAACAAGTTGCCATTAGGCATGTAATCATAAACCAGCAACTTCTCATCCCTGGCGAAATAATAGGCCTTCAATCCCACCAGATTCGGGTGCCTAAGCCTCCCCATAAACTCCATTTTCTGTTCAAACTCCTTTCTCCCATTCACAGTCATATCCTTCAACCTTTTCACGGCCACCACACTACCATCATCCAAGACAGCCTTATACACAGTCCCATATCCGCCTTTTCCCAGCATCTCAGCCGACGCCCTCAGCAAATCCTCCAGCTCGAACCTCTTCTCCCCATTGAAAAAGACCATTTTACCCTTCTCGTACCCGGAATGAGCGGGGTTGGGGTACGGGCTCGACGAGTACACGATTTTCTCCACTTGCGCGCCTCTGCTTTTCCCTGAAACTAATTTTTTGGAATAATTTGTCCAGAAATAGCAGTAGATAAGCAGGGACAATAACCCCAAAAACCCAACATCACCCAGTATTATGCCGATTATGGCGGGCCAGCTGATTTTGCTCCGGCCAGCAGCTGTCCGCTTACTCAGAGGCTTCATCTCGGACGGAATTGCAGTTGGGGAAGAGGCAACAGTTGTTTTCGGGCTGACAGGAGATGCCATGGCCCCGCTTGGCCTGGTCGGGTCGCTGGAGACCACCTTGCATTTTTCCAGAGGAGACCCGCACAGAACTCGGTTGCCCAGAAATGACTCCACCGGGAAGCTCGAAAGAGGAATCGGTATTTCCCCACCGAGGTTGTTACCGGAGACGTTGAAATCCTGCAGAGTAAGCGAGGTCAGGCCCGAAATCGAACCCGAGAACCCGTTTTCCTCCAACCTCAACGTCAATAGATGAGTCAATCGGTTCACGCTCAACGGTATTCTCCCGGAGAAGTTGTTGTGCGACAAATCGAGGCGGTAAAGTCTCGGAATCGAAGACAACGAGACGGGGAAGCCGCCGGAAAAACGGTTATGTGAAAGGAAGATGAACCTGAGGCTGGTGAGGTTCGATAGATCTGGCACCTGGCCTGAAAACCCGTTTGCCTTCAGGCTGAGGAGCCGGAGGGCCGTGAGCAGGGTGATCGAGCGGGGGAAGCCGCCGCGGAGGCCGAGATTCTCGAGAACCAAATGGTACACCCGGCCGTGGAGGCACGAAACCCCGAGCCACGAGCCCGTGCATGGGTCGGACGAGGAGTTCCAGGATGCGAGGACGACGTCGTTCGGGTCTGCGGAGGTTTTGAGGAGGAGGAGCGCTTGGGTGTCGGGGTTGGTGAGAGCGGAAGCACAGTTGAGGAGGAGGAGGAGGGAGACGGCGGCGGCGAAAGGGTTGGATTTTGGTTTTCCGGCGGCCGACATTGTCGTTGAGTGTGAGTTTTTCAGAGGGTGCGACTTGTGAGAGCGGAGAAAGGAGAAAACTGTAGTGAAGAGTTTTGAAGGGGGTGTGTATTAATTTGGAGACAGTGTTGGGATTTATGTGTAATTATTATTGCCAAAGGCTCAATTTCAGATTCCTCTTGTTGCAAAATGTGATTTCAGTTTCAGGATTTCAGATAGAGAAGATATTAATATATTCGAATAGTTAAATTCTTGTCCGAGGCTTATAATAATTAGGTGGTAACGTCATATTTTTAAAGTTAAATATATATTCTATCGGTTTTGCTATGAAGCCAACTGTTGGCTCCGTAGTGGAACCGTCTATTCTATTATTAAATGTCATGATTTTATTTATTTTAATCTATTAGAATATAACATTCCAGTTTAAAGTTATGCATGTATGTATTAAAATAAATAAATTTTCTAACTATTAGTTTTGACCAACAATTGATTAAAGTTTAGAACCATTAAGATAATTTTCTTACCAAAAGTCACTTGTAGTTTGGGGCTTATTTACCATGATTTATCTGATCAGGTTTGCTATGGAGTCATCGGATGGCTCGACTTATGGAGTCATTCACACTTATTCATCAATAGTGTATTGACACGTGTGCTGCAATAAATACACTTTGGACATGTGTCAATACATTAAGTAGTGGATGGCTCTATAAAAAAATCATCTGATGGCTCCATATAATTTTTGTTTATCTGACTAACTAATTTATAACTACAAGTTAAGTTATCAATTTCACCAAATGCATGAGCTACCCTTTTAGAAAACTGTGCTGTTAATATCGGAAACAGCTAATGTAGAAGATTCTTAGTGGTTATTGTGAAATTAAACAACATTATTAACCATTGACATGCTATTTTAATCCTAGTAATTTTTCTATTATTTTTCATTTGTTTATTTTATTTTATTAATCCTTGTAAATCTGGAGCTTCACAGCTCTGCCCAAACTCCAAGATTGCACACATTCCTATCACAAAAATAAGTAAATACTATGCATTACCAATTTTAGGACATATTTGAATTAATTTTGCACGCATTTATTATAACGGATCTTCATTCATCAAATGGCAATTTCTCTGGCTTCGGAGTTGTACATTAAAGAAAAAGTAAGGGTATAGTAATTAATTGCATCTAGGGTACAACATCATAAATGGTGAAAAATTGCATATTATGAGGGCCAGTGAGGATTTGGGACCATGGGCAGGAGAACTGAAAACTACAGCAAACTGATCACCAGTTGATAATAAGTGCACAACACCAATAACTACTCCTATATACTTACGTGTGATTGAAAAAAGAATTTGTACAATAAAAATAAGTAAACAAAAATAAATTTATAATAGATAATGAATAATCAATAGAGTGATAAATATTTAATTACAAACAATTTTAACATAAAATTTTCAAAAACTATAATAATTTTAATTATATTTATAAATATATATGTCTAACACAAGTAATATTTACAACTATTTAGATGTTTTAAAATTCATTCCAAAAAAATTATATATGATATGGAAGTCAAATTGAAATCTTCAAAAGATGATTAATTTGATCAAATCAAATATGAGAAAGGGAATACATATAAAAAAGATTATTAACCTTTTAAGATATGATTAAAAAAAGTAGTGTATTTTATAAAATGTGCATTAAAATTATTGATGATGATTAACTAGTAAAAATATTTTAAATAGTGAAAGGAATGTTATTGATCAGAGATCTATGATCATCACAACTTTGGGTTATACCCTCGACTGTCTCCCGCCTCCTTGCCGTCCTCAGGTACACCTTATCCTATAACACATTATACTTCTTGTGATTCATTCTCACTCGGCCATAAGTCCTTTTTGGCAACTGTGACTTCCATTGTTGAACCTCAGTCTTTCACTGAGGCAGTTCGTGATAGTCGTTGGCACTCGACCATGCAGTTTGAAATTCAGACTCTGGAGAACAATCATACCTGGGACGTTGTATCTCTTTCTTCAGGAAAGCATGCTATTGGCTGTAACTTGATTTACAAAATTAAGTATCATTCTGATGGATCTGTTGAGCACTGTAAGGCGTGTTTGGTTGTTTGGGGAAATAGACAAATTGAGGGGATTGATTATCAGGAGACTTTTGCTCCAGTAGCAAAGATGGTCACGGTTCGTCTTCTTTTGGTTGTGGCTGCGGCTCGGCACTGGGAAGTCCATCAGGTGGATGTTCACAATGCCTTTTTGCACGACGACTTGATTAAGAAAGTTTATATGAAACTTCCTCTTAGTTTTCATTCTCCTCGGACTGGTGAGGTCTGACGGTCGTGTAGTTCTTTGTATTGTTTGAAGCAAGCTCCTCGTTGTTGGTTTGCCAAGCTTGTTACTGCTCTTAAGCACTATGGTTTTACGCAGTCTTGTTCTGATTACTCTTTGTTTCCTTTACATCGTGATTCTGTGCATTTACATGTCTTGATATATGTTGATGATCTCATCGTTTTTGGAAGCAATGCTACTGCTATCACTGCCTTAAAGGAGTACTTGGGTCGTTATTTTCATAAGAAGGATTTGAGAGCTTTGAAATATTTTTTGGGTACTGAGGTTGCTCGAAAGACCTCTGGTATGCTCTTGTGCCAGAGAAAATACACTCTGGACATCGTTGTCGAGACTGGCAACTTGTCGGCAAGTCAGTTGACTTTCCTATAGAGCAGAATCATTAGCTTTCATTAGCCGAAGGACCTTTATTCAGTGATCCTAAGAAATATTGTTGGTTAGTGGGACATTTCATTTATTTAGCCGTCACTTGTCCCGACTTATCGTATGCTGTGCACATGCTCTCTCAGGTTATGCATCAGCCTCGTCAAGCACACTGGGATGTTGCTATTCGTGTGGTCCGATACTTGAAGGGTACGCCAGATCAAAGTATTCTTCTTCATTCTGACTGTGATTTGCAGATTTGTAGTTGGTGTGACTCCGATTGGGTGACTTGCCCTACTACCCACCGGTCTCTCACCTGTTGGTTCGTTTAGAGCACCCACAATGCTTTAGGTCTCTTAACAAAAAATTACATGCCACATGGGAAATAGACTTAGTCTATAAAAAAATACTTCCCAATGCAATTAAAAGTGGACATGGTCTAGCTTATGTGGCAATGAAAAAAAGAGACCAAGTCCACACTTGGGTCTATTTTGGACCCAAGTACAAACCCAAACACTCATCATTTGTTCTTAATTTAATTTTTTTTTAATGAATAAAACATATTAGAGCATTTCTATTGGTTGGCATGTATGCTAGACCTAGTCTTTTTAGTTTTGCATTGCAAGGTTTTTGAGTTTTTTTACTTAGGTTTGTTCATGTCATTTAAAACTCAAGTCTAATTATATGTCACATATACAAAAAGAAACCCAAAGCATTGTGGATGCTCTTAGCTTGGCCACTCTACTAATATTTCATATTTTCCCTTGGTATATCATTTTCTGGCATAGGAAATTGTTAAAATTAAAATGGGAGGAGACAAGACAAAAAGTTGTAAATGGAGATATTCTTTTAACGTGTAATGAACTTTGAAATGTTACTAAAAAGAAGAAATTCGAAAATTTGCAGTCAGGGCTAATCATTTCGGTCTAAAGAAAAAGTGAAAAGTGAGAGTTTAATTGGTGTTATTACGTATATGATTTTTCATGAATTTAGTATGGGACAATTTATTATTACTACGTTATAATACTCGTGTTTCTTCACATTTCCCAATTCCACAGTTTTGAGTGGGATAGAAAGTATAATTAATGCTTTAGCTGGGAGCGTCTGGCTTTGTAGGGGACCCTCATTCAATTATATATCTCGATGACCCAAAATATTTATGCCTCAATTAATAGGTCTTTTTTTTTTTCAAACTTTTAATTTCGGTTTATTTATAAAAGGGTTATCCCATCAACACACTTCTATGAATATTTATGTATGTGTGTTGATCAACATGAAAAATTCGATGGCTTCATTACTATCATGGGTAGGATCAATTCATCCAAAAGGGTTGATTTCAACCTAGCAGTTATCAGGAAAATAAAATAAAAATCGAAGAAATTCATTTGATTTTGACGTATTTTCAAAACTATCTGAACCGTTAGTTGAACGTATCTAGCATGCTGAATTTTCAGCTTATAACAATTACATAACTCAAAATTTCTAATTACATCTACCGACTACCAATGAAACAATCATTTTTTTTAATCATAATGGCACACGAGTGACAAGACCCCAAGGGCTAGTTAAATAATACACCAAACTACTCTAATTTACTATTACATTATTGCATGGGTAATTAATATTTAAAAATACTAAAAACATTACAATGTTTCCTCTTAATATTTCAAATTGTTAATTAAAATTATATTATTATTTTTATTTAAAATATCATATGTGAACATCCGTAAGACTAGTCCATTCTATATTATAATATATTTTTATATCATATTATATAATAACTTTGCTAGATATTTTTTTAAAATCGATAAATAATAATGTAATAAATAATAATTTTATTACTTGTTCATTATGATTGGTAGATAGTTCAATTTAAGTTTATAAAGGTTGATTTAACTATTTATTATTTTATATGTACAATATGATTGTCAATTGTTCGATATATCAATATAAAAAATGAAAGTAAATTAATTTATTAGATATATTTATTGTTTAAGTTAGCCAAATAATTTATAATTATAAAGGTATGCATGAATAAAAGTTCAGATCTACATGCACTACTACACACCTAAAATTAACACACAATTACAAAGCACGAACATAATATTGTGAAACACAACAAACTGACAATTAGGGTAAGGAAACATCTTAATTGAATTCCAATTAATTGACAAAAGGAGAGATTTGATGTAGTTATAAAAATACAAATTAGTTCATAATTATAAACTAATTTGTATTTTCAAGTCCTGAGCTTTAATCTAACCTCGAAATGAACGGAATTGATTTTCATGTGCAAGAAAGATAATTAATGTTGCTAACTTGCTATAAACCTTTTGGCACAAGTATTATTTCAAGTTTCCTAAGCACTCAATGCAATCCATCTGTAATTTTGATAGCAATGGTGCCTTTTGTATATATAAAGAGAAACTACAAATGTTTTCATAAATAAGATATTTTAAACTCTGAAGTATAAGTATTAGACGAATTTGTAATAGAATCAAGTTGACCAAAATTTAAGA